GGACGAAATATTAATAAGTTTATTGTTTTGTATCAATTAAAGTCAAAAGAAATCGAAAGGAGAAGCCACATTGCGAGGAAGTCCCGCTTGCTCAGGCCCTTGAGTCACCACCGACACATTTTAGAGCATTTTGTAAGAAAATATTTCCACTCTGAGGAGAGTAACAAAAGAGCAAAAATGAATGTTGACTAACAAAAAAAATTGTTTTTTATGCCAAAATCATTAAGATATTGTCCTAGATGTTCCTCGATCCGCTTCTTTTAACAAGATAGGACGACTTATTCTTAGGTTCACCCCCTAAGCTGAACCTAAAGGTTTACCAACCAATAGGATGTTGTTATTTCATATTTGATATCTTTTAAAAAAAGAAACAAAATCTTGTCAAATTATATTATGTTTTTAAAATAAAACTAGAACAAAATAAATAAAAATAATAATATTTACAAAAAACGAAAAAAATTCTTTAAAATATATTTTAACATTATATTATGTTTTAAAATAAAAGATAAAAATAAAATAAAAACAGTAATAATTGCTAAAAAACAATTTAAAACAAAAATCTTAAGATATCTTTAAAATAAAACATTTGTTTAAAATAAAAATATAAAAATAAATAAAAAACAGTATAGTTGGTTAGTATTAATTTATCCAAGGGTTAAGATTTTCCAAAGAGTTTATGACTTACCAAAGGGTTTATGGTCTAGGATTAGGGTTTAGGGTTTAGGATTAGGGTTTAGGGTTTAGGATTAGGGTTTAAGGTTTAGTGTTTTAGTATCATATATATTTTTTAGTTCTTTTTTTAGTTTTTTTAGTATTATTATTTTTTAATTTATTTTTCTATTTTTATTTTAAAAACAGAATATAATTTAACAAGATTTTATTTTCTTTTAAAAAAGATATCAAATATGAAATAACACTATCCTATTGGTTGGTGAATCTAGAGAACAAGTAAACGCATATTAGCTAGTGATTGTGAGGCTTCCATTTTTGATTGGTGTAGACACTAAAGATCTCCACTCCTCTATCCTTTGGATAGAAAGGTATAACTTTTAGTTTCTTTTCCTCGCCACACACAAATGGAAGAATTCCCAATAAAAGAAGAAAGAGGTCGAGAGGCTAATCTTATTTAGTAGTTGTTTCATTAGGCTAAATATTTTTAAATGAAAATAATATCCTTAAAATAGTTTATAATTCAAATTTTAAATTATAAAATAATTATTAAATAGCAATAATACCCTTAAAATTAGTTTATAATTTAAAACTAAAATTATAAAATAATTATTATATATTTTAGAAAGTATAATAAAATAAACTCATTATAACTAAAAAACTAAAACAAATAAAAAAATTTCAAATAGATTAATCATTCATTCCAAATAAAACTAATTATAAATTAAAAAAATTCCAAAATTCCAAATAAAAAAGCTAATTTGAAATTAAAAAAAAATTCCCAAAAAATCCAAATATTTTTAAAAACTTATTCGAAATTAAAAGAATATTTCAAAATATTTTAAAAACTAATTCGAAATTTTGAAAAAATATTTCCAAATATTTTTCTCAAAATGTTCGAAATTTCAAATATTTTAAAAAATATTTCCAAATTTTTTTTTTTCAAAAATTCAGAAATGGAAAAAAAATATTTGGAAATATTTTATTAATTCGAAGTTCTAACTAGAAAAAATAATAATTTTCTTTTTGAAAAATTGATTTAATGTATGGAAAGTGGATATTTCCAAACGTTTTATTCCCAAATTTTCGGAACTGCTTATTTTTATCCGTAGAGTATGTATTCTACTATATGTAGAATGCAGTAAGAATGTTTGAAATCAACTTCTACATGTTTTAGATTTATAATAATGTGTGGATTCCGATTTATACCTAATTTAGATTTATTGTAATTTTTAGGTTTCGATTTCTACTGATTTTAAATAGATAGGTCAAGTGCGGAATGTGTGTTCCAGATTGTTTTAGATTTTACTATTATATACGTAGAACATATATTTTGAACATAGTAGATTTTATGAAAAAAGTGGTTTTCATTTTACCTTTGTAGAATATATATCTGTAGAACAAAATATGAAATTATGATTTAATCATTTTTTAAACTGGAAAAAAATACCACTAAAATTGATATAGATATTACATCATTAGATACTATTTTTGAATTTTTTTTTTGTTCATAAAACTATTTATTTGATTAATTTCTGAAAATACTTAAGAGTACTAAAGTAAAAATGGATACAAAATAGAAATTAGCGGACAATATCCTAATGGTTTTGGCTTAAAGAAATAATTTCCCCCAAAAAAAAACTGTATACGAAGTGAAAACTGATCACAATATGTGATGGTTGATGCTTTCATCAAAATAGTTCACATTAATATTGGAATTGGAATTTCAGATATCATGGTTTCATGAAGACTAAACGACAGTAAAAAAGAAACCCACAAAGCTAGATTAATTACAAAAGAGCCACCAAAAGTCCAAAAGTAACTCACTTTCAGTCATCATCAACACCGACCTCTGCATCGCCACCAATATCCGGCGTAAATGGCTCCGACAATCTCGTAACATTCCGACAAAACCCATTCCCCTGTTTTTCCCCTTTCTCTGCCGCCACAACAAAATGACCTAACTCTCCGACGACCTCAATCAGATTCTCCTCACATAGAAACTCCTCACTATATGCTCTCTCAAGCTTCCTCCCAAAGTCATGTACAAAAACATCTGTCGTCTTCTTCTTCTTGCCGGAATCTTTACTCTTTGCAAAAACCGCCGAAGTAAAAATCGGAGCCATCCTTCCTGGTGAATCTCCGGCGTACCCATGAGGCCCATCAATCAAAATCACATCCCAATCGATGTCGTACACAAAGTTGGGTAAATCGTTGATACCCAACTTACAATCCGAGAACAACAGATTCTGAACCGGTCGACATTCGGGTCGGGTTTTATAATAACCCAAAAGCTTACCGGCCTGAGAGACTTTTGTCGAGTAAACGATGTCGTAAGCTTCAACTCCAGGATTGTTCTGCTCGAATTTGGAAACGGCGTAAGAATTTTCGTCGACAAAGACAGTACGGCCTTTGAGATTGACAGATCTCCAGAGGAGAGATTCGTGGGAAAGTCCAAAGACGAGGAGATTGCAGGTGGGGCCTTTGGAGTTAATGACGGTGGAGATGGCGGAGAGTTCCGAGAAAGTCATTGAGGTGTTTGGTGGTGATGAAGAAGTGTAGTGTAGAAGTGCGGCGAGGATCGATGGTGAGAGGGAGGACGGTGAAGATGAGGAGAGAGAGTGGGAGGCTGTTGCGGTAGAGTGGAGTGAGGATGAGAAGAGAGTGAAAGAGAAGAGAAAGGTGAAGAAAAATAGGAAGAAGATGAACAAGAGACGGTGGTGGTTTGCGGCCGAAACGGCGGAAGCTGATTTAGAGGTTAGAGGAGTGTGGTGGCGGAAGAGGATCAAATTAATATTTGCATTGTTCTTCATTTCAGACTTTTATTTTAGAAAGAAAGAAATAGAGAACAAAGAGGAAATGTGTTGGTGGTCTCTTTGAGGAACGCTTTATAAACAAAGGAAATAAAATTTGTTTGTTCTCTAATTGCTTCGGGTCTCTAATATGTTTACTGAACCGGTAATTTCTAAAGACCCTAAACGGTTGTCGTTGTCAGCTTTTACTTTTGTTTTATTAATGATCAGATTTCGAAATTTTGAAATTGGGGGTATTAATTCAAGCATTTAATCATCTTCTTTTTTTTTTTTTTTTTTTTTTTTGACATCAAACGGCTGATCTATTACTCAAGGCACTTGAGGTGGTCTGGGAATCCAGACCGGAATAGAACAACCAACATACACAAGCTTACGATAAAACGACCTAGCTGTCTTCGCTAGAGAATCAGAAACACAGTTCTGTACTCTAGGGATATAACAAATCTTAAAATCAGGGAAACAGATCTTCAAGGTCTCCAGTTTTTCCAGCTCTGTTGAGAAATTAGGCCATCCGTGGGGATTCTTGAGCATCTCTACCATCTCCTTGCAATCAGTTCCAAAGCTCTGACATGGCGAATGTTGAAGCATATTCTCCATTGCCCATCGCAGTGCTTCCAACTCTGAATGCAGCGCCGACTCCACTCGATCAAAGTTTCGCAGCCCCATGAGATCGTTATTTCCAGAGTTATCAATCAACACCCATCCACATCCACTGAAGCTATTTGTAGAGGTCCAAGATCCATCTACCATGCATATATTCCCCAAACTTAAGATTTGGTCCTCATTAGTTCCACTCACAGTGGATTCCGGGCCGTCCTGCTCATTTGCTTTAAACCATGCCTGACATTCACTCTCAGCATATCTTGCTACCTCCAATGGGTCCCTATCAATACCTCTAAAGAGTTTGTCATTCCTACCCTTCCAAATGTACCATATTAACCAAGGATAAGGATCCCTGTCTAATTCTGGTTCTAATATCGCGTTTTTCCTCCAGAACAGATAGTCCATATTTGCATACGTACTTTGTACAGGAAAAATAGCAGGGTTGGTAGGCGTAGATGATAATGCCCATACTTGTAATGCAGGTGGACACTCAAAAATTGCATGTGTGATCGTCTCATCTGGTTCCCCACATCGAGGACAATGGTTGTCACATCTCATATGTCTATAATTTAAGATACTCGTAACTGCCATATGCCCTGTTATTATCTGCCACATAAGGTGACAGATCTTCTGGGGAGCCCTGACCTTCCAAGCATGCGCTTGAAGTTTAGTAATGCTGGGCTCACGAACTTCTGGCTCCTCTTCCTTACGCAAGAGATTTCGTGCAACCCAGTACCCAGATTTAACAGTGTATTGTCCATTCCTCCTATAGCTCCAACAGAAAGTATCACGTCGATGCGTGGAACTAATTGCCAAACTCTTGATTAGCGGTATGTCAGCAACATCAATATAGTCGTGAAGCCGACTGTCATCCCAGGTCTTCGTAGTCTGATCAATCAAATCGCTCACTCTCATATTCGGGTGCATAACCGGAGCTATTGGGATTGCTGGCCTCGCAGGTATGGTAGGAATCTAAGGATCCTCCCATACTTTAACTTCATAACCCGAATGAATTTTTTGTCTAATTCCTTGTAATAACAATTCCCTACCAGCGGAGATACTTGTCCACACATATGATGGGCTACTAGTGCTGATTTGACGCAAAGGCGTACTTAATCTGTAGTACCGGCCTCTCATGACTCGAGCCACCAGAGAATCCGGGTTCTGAGCCAATCGCCATAATTGTTTTGCTAGTAGCGCGAGATTGAACTCATGAATCATCTTGAAGCCGATTCCACCCTCTTCTCTAGGTAAGCAAAGTTTATCCCATGTCGACCAGTGCATACCTCTTTTTGGCGGATTGGAACTCCACCAGAACTGTGCAATGGCACTAGCTAGATTCTCATAAATCTCCAATGGGAGAAGGAAGCAAGACATTACATACGTCGGCAGGGCAAGCAAGATTGACTTTATCATAACCTCTTTTCCACCCTTCGAGAGCCAACGACCAGTCCATCCATTCACCCTTCCTCTCAACTTGTCCTTAAGGAACGCAAAGAGCTTACACTTGGAACCACTTATGTCCTCCGGTATACCCAAATATGATCCCATTCCACCTTCATTCTGGATTCCCAGAGTGTCTTTGATCTCTTGTCTCACATCCAATCCAATCCTTTTACCAAAGAGTAAAGAGGACTTGTCAAAATTAATGCATTGTCCAGACGCTTTTCCATACACTTTGACCACTTTCATTACTTCTTCACATTCACGGGGCTCCGCCTTACAGAAAAACAGACTATCATCAACAAAGAGAAGATGAGATACCGAAGGACACGCACGCGTGATGCGCATCCCCGTTATCTTTCCTTGGTTCTCTGCGTGATTTAGAAGGCTAACGAGCGCTTCCGTGCACGGAATAAAAATAAAAGGAGACAAAGGATCCCCCTGTCTTAGACCTCTCTCCGGAATAATATTTCCTCTCGGACTCCCATTCATGAGGACTTTGTATTTCACTGATGTTACACATCTCATTATCATAGATATCCAGACCTCAGAAAAACCCATCTTCCTCATGGTGGCCTCAATGAAGGACCATTCCATACGGTCATATGCCTTGCTCATATCCGTCTTTATAGCCATCCTCTTATTTCGTCCACTCGGTTTTGTTCTTAAAGCGTGAAATAACTCTTGAGCGATCATAATGTTATCCGATATCTGTCTACCATCAACAAAGGCTGACTGAGTCTCTGAGATCCTCTCGGGGAGAAACTTTTTTAATCTCTGGCATAAGACCTTAGAGATAATCTTGTAACTAACATTGCATAAGCTAATAGGACAAAGCTGGCTCATCTGATTCGGCTTATCCACCTTTGGTATTAGACATATATTGGTGTCATTTAACCCCGGTGGGACGACGCCGTCAAAGAGGAATTGATTAACCATACGAGTTAAATCCTCCTTTACAATGTCCCAAAATTTCTGGTAAAATAGCGCCGTCATTCCATCTGGACCTGGAGCTTTCTCTGGGTGCATCGCAAACAGCGCCAATTTAACCTCCCATTCAGTAACCGGAGCTGTCAATGCCACATTATCCGCTACAGAAATTGTCGTCGCTACTTCTGAGAGTGCCTCTTCTATTGTGTCTGGATTTGATGATTGGAAAATATGTCTAAAGTAATTTGTAGCAATGGCTACCAATCCTTCCTCATCCTCCACAACATTTCCATCTTCGTCCAATAATTGAGTGATCCTGTTCCTTGCTCTACGCTGCTTCGTTAGGGCGTGGAAAAATTTGGTATTCCTATCCCCTTCCCTCAACCAAAATACCCTACACTTCTGCTTCCAGAACAGTTCCTCTGCCTTAAGGGCATCGGATAACTCCTTAATGGCCGCTCCAATCTCCTCAGTAGTAGCATCATCAGATGATGAAAGGCGATCCACCTTTTCCTTAAGCTCCTCCACAGTCTTCTCAGAATTCAGGTTAAGCTGTTTTTTCCAGTCACTCAAAGCTCGCCTACAACTAACTATATGCTCCATTATGCTCGCATCAGGCGGGAGATTCGGTGACTTCCACCCTTCCAAAATAATTTGCCTCAGCTCATCATTATCTCTTATCAAATTTAAAGTTTCTTGTTCTTCTAGGTTTCTTTCTTAGGATATCAGCGAGAATCAGACGATGATCCGATCCCCAGAGTCTCATATACGTGATCTTGGACTGAGGGAATTTTTCATGCCAATCCTCATTTCCCACAGCCCTATCAAGTCGACACCGAACTGTCGATCTTCCAGCCCTATTGCCAACCCAAGACAACATGTTCCCTGTGAAAGGAAATTCGAGCATTCCACAATCACTTAACATCTGTCTAAACGGCAGAAAGGAACTATCAGGGCGTTGTCGGCCTCCTTCTTTCTCTGCATGACATGTTATTTCGTTAAAATCCCCTATCATGAACCAAGGTCCATTTCTTGTTGTTGAGAAACGCGTAAGACGTTCCCATACTACATCTCGTCTATCAATTACAGGATCCCCGTAAACAAATGTCATATAGACTTTTATTCCATCAATGACTGCCTCAATGTCAATCATTCTGTTATTTGAAAAAAGTACATTAACTTGAAAATCATCCATAAAAAATAAAGCTAAACCCCCGCTGAGACCAAGTGGCTCAACGGTAAACAAACGATCAAATCCTAGGTCAGCCTGAATGTCTTGCAACAGCAGCCTCCTATTCTTAGTTTCAGAGAGGAACACAATTCCTGGGCGATGCTTCTGACACATCTCCGTAAGGCGTCGAACTGTGAGGTCGTTCCCAATGCCTCGACAGTTCCAACTGATTGTCCTCATGGATGAAAGGGGGATGGGTTTTTGGATCCCATCGAACCAACTCCAGTGTGTGAAATTCCTCGAATCATTTTAGAAACATTTTGCGCATGTCCAGCCTTCTCCTTATGACGAGAAGACCTCTGCGCCGATGTCCTAGAAACCCTCAACCTGGGGGATCCCTGACGGAGGACACCCGGCTTACTTGATGATGAATTTAGACGACCAGATCTCTTCTTACTATCATCCTTATTGTTCAAACCGGCTTTGCCTCCCACTCGCTTCTCCTCATTAGCCTCCATAAACTCTTCTCCCAGAAGATCATCCTCAGCATCATCATACTCTTCATTAGTCATTTTCATTACATCATCAGTATCATTTGTCTCCATATCATCTAAAGCCCCAATGACTTGCTCCCCTTCTTCAACTGCTTCATCCGGCACAAAAGACAAAGATCTTATTGCGCTTCGACTATGTATTGTAACGTTATCTTCCATAGTTGCTGTCCGAAGTGGTGGAGATACAATGATACTAGACACCTTCCTACTCTGGTTTCCCGATCCATTCGCACCACCTCCGTTGCCATCCTCCTTAGCCTCCACAATACCACTGTTATGCGCAGACGGTACAGCAGGAGAAGTCATCCCTCTCTCCTTAACTT